AGAAGCAGGCGTCTTTTAATTTCGGGGCTGCTGTCTCCATCTGCAGTGATCATGGAGCCCAAGAAAGTAAAATCTGTCACTGCCTCCATATCTTCCCCTTCTATTTGCCAGGAGGTGATGGGACCAGTGGCCATTATCTTAGTTTTTTTTATGTTGAGTTTCAGGCCGCTTTTTGCACTCTCTTTTGCAGTCTCTTCTTACATTAGTTAAAAACACTAGCAAAAGGGCAGAATCTGGGGTAGGATGAGTCAGGAAGGTGGAGGAAGACACCTCAGCCCAGAATTTTAGGATGAAACCACCCTCCCCCCCAATTCTTGTTAGACTGAACTGAAGTACAGCAAGGACCTGGAAGGACGGAGAAGACTAACGGGGAAGTGGCAAGCCCCTTCTCTCAATTTATTCTACAACTGCTTCCATTCTGTAACTCATGTAAAAAAGCACTTTGTGACTAGACACTTTTGGTACTTGCTATTCTTGACTCAGAGAAGATTGGAGGTCCCCTAAACATGTATTTATTGACACATCTCCATAGATTTAACGAATGAACACCTTACTTTTGGAATGCGATGATACATAAATAAAACAATGGGAATATCATACCTATTTTTATTACAGCAGAAAGGAACACGTTATAATCCATGAAAACCATTATTCCATGTTTCCTGACTTTATTAAACAGTTATGAGTGCACTGAAAGAAATCTGAATTGAACCTTTTCCAAGTAGCAGAAAGGTCTTCACTGAAGCCTTGTTAATCTGTACTGGGATTCAGCATCAAATACATGAAAAGCTGACTCTTGGAAGTGAATTCAAAGCAGGGGCTTGCTTTCATAGATCGTTATTGTACCTGATTGCAAAACCACTTGGAAAAAAATGCCTGAAGGTGTTTACACAGGCTCCTGAATTATGTGATAGCTGCTGGAGCAAAGCAAGTTTCTGTATAAGAAGTGATGTGTATAATTAATTACCTAAACTGACTGGATAGTTTAGTGGTTTAGGTATCTGGTTGTAGATCACAGTTTGATTTCCTACTGTGCCTCCAGGGCAAAGAGCCAGTGTGTGTGGCCCTGGGCAAACTGTACAGTCTCAGGGTGCTCCCAGAAGAAAGGAATGGTGAACCACTTCTGAGTATTCTCTACCTAGAAAACCCCTTAAAAGAGTCACCAAAAGTCTGAATTCACATGAACAGCACATGACTATTACTAGTATTACCCAGGGGTAGTATGTGGTTTCCATGCCACCTGCCCCAAAGGCCTCCAGGAAGGTTACGGTACATCCCTATGTTATGGCAAAGGCTTTCCACTTCTCAGATTTTGTTGCAGTTGGAATCAGGAAGGCCATTTTTTCTCAGCTGGGTTGGCAGGAAACCCCTTGTGCAAAGCGAAGAACTCCAGCCACCCTGAGCAAAAGCCAGGGATAGTGAGAGTTGTAGTCCAACTGTCCAGTGCAGAGCTGACTCTCCTTATTTCCCAGATCACAGTGAGAAGGCAATGTGTCAGTAGCTGAAAGAGCACAGGGGAGATCAATACCGATTATTTAGTTAGTTTGCAACATCGATATGTATCATGTGTTACACAGTAAAGACACTTAAGCATGCACATACTTAATTGCTTGATTCTGAATGTGATTCCATTTATGTGTGAATGGCATGAATCATGTTTTTCATCTTTTGCTTGTAAATCTAATCCTTTACGTCTCAAGGAAAACAAGGACCTTCCAGATACTGAACTACAACTCCTATCATCCCTGACCATACTAACTGGTGCTGATGGAAACTTGAGCAGAGCAACATCTGAAAGGCCACTAGTTTCCCACTCATGCTGTAGTCAGAAGTACATATGAATACCCGTGCTTGGCCCTCCATAGTAGCCGCACCTACTAAGCAGAGCAGCAGGGTGTGCAAGCCCATCTGCTCTCTGGCTGCACTTGCATGCATATTTAATAGGCTCTAAAAGGCTTGATTCTTTCTGCTAAGGTCAATCGGCGCACTGTGCCTAGGCACTCACAAATGCTGCACAGCAAGCAGCTGCAGCATAAAGACGCCCCTTTTTGGTCCCAGGAGGCTCTTCCTGCTGCAGACGTGATTCCTCTCCTGGCAGGTCTTTGGCTCTGTTCTCCTTATTTGCCTTGCCCTCCTGCATAATTAACTGGGCTTGAAAGAAATGCTTCATTTAAAAACCAAAAGGTTCACTCAACAGAAAAGGACAACCACCACTGGTGATCATAGCAGAAAGCATTCAACCGATTTAACCCTTCCTTGAATTTCAGGGCTTCATCTTTTCGTTTCATAAGAGACCCATAAACCTAGATCTGAACAAAAAGCAAGTGAAGAAGGGTACCATATATATATATATATATATATATTGCTCCCATTTATGGACATAGGATATCTATGTACCCATCTACACAGCTGTGGTCTTTTGTATAAATCCATGAGGTTCATGCATTAAGATCAGCCAAAGAAAACCTTAGATTTTCTTTGATTACAGATTGGCAACAAGGGCCTTCTCAGTATTTTTTCTTTGAGATGTCTTGCGAAGCCATCAAGGTTTCTAAAAATGGATTTTTAGACAAGCTTTGCCAGCTGAAATAGCCATTTTGTTTTCTTTTAGATAACAGGGTTTAACTAATTCGTGTTATGTTCATTTATTGCATACTAGTATTTGCTGCAATGTGATCTGAGACTACTGGCTATAAGGCAAAATGCCCATTTAAGTCAAGAAGAAACGTGATGGGAATATATATTTGAAATGCCAAGATCCATGCTGTTATCCTGCTTTTACAGGTGGATTATTTGCATCTGTTTGGAATCCGTGTATGGGAGACCCAGGCTTCAGCATCAGAGTGCCAACAGCTGGAAAATCTTATTGCTCTTGGATGTGCACATCTGGACATGTAAACATTAATGCACAGGATATGCTGCTGTGAAGCAGCTGCTGAGCTTGCTGCAAAGGAGGAGGACAGACAATATGGACTCTCAAAATGGGAGGAAAAATCCTAGCTCAATCCCTTGAATTTTTATAGAATGCTATAAATGTTGAGCAGTTTCACTTACTTTGTAAATTAATTCAGCCCAGTCAAGTCCTTCTGGTAAGGAGACCAAAAGGTTGTTGGCTGCTGAATTGCTGAATGCAGCATATTCGTGATAGAATGAGTTTCTTCCTGTTAAGCAAAATTAACCTGAGGCAATGAGAGCTGTCACACATTTTAAAAGGTGCTTGCAAGGGCTAGTTCGTTCTGCCCATCTCTTTATTTCCGCTTTCTGTGTTGCTCTTTTTCAGGGTGTCAGTACTCACCGTATTACATCCCTAACCACTAGCACTCAAGGAAAATCATACCTCCTGCAGGCTTTAGCCCTCATGTGCCTTGTTTATTAGTAACACACACACCCAGCAATTTTGCTGCTACTGCCATAGCATATTCTGAGCTGGCAATGGCCTGGACTATGCCCACCCCCCACAAAAGCAGCATGCAACATAACCCTGCTGTAGTGAAACCAACTGTAGAGAACTGAACACTTAATAAAGAAACATCCTCGTTTTTCATTTGGAAGAGATTCCTTCTTTAGTATTTACTTTGAAGTAAGAGCTATGGCCTCAAATAGGAACCAGAGGGAGGGATACAAATTCATTCCATTATTCACTGTAGAAGAAGATAGAAAGGGTGTCTATACATTCCAGATCCTCAGAGATTGTTCAGGGCTAATCTCATTTGGAAACATGGGCTCCACAATATGGAAATACAGTATGTGAGAATTCTTAAAATATTCATGAATGTAAAAGCCTTCCTGCTGCCTTCACAACCTACACACATACCCATTTTGCTTAGTCAGGCAGGCTCTTGCAGAGAGAAGGAGAGATGCCGCACCAGCAATTTCCCAGACGGCAAGGAAGAAGAACCAACTGAGCAAAGCATTCAGAAGCATTTAGCTGGATTTCAGGGAAGCACTTATTTCTCATTGATTTTTTCCCCTCTCTCTCAAATGGTCTTGAATGTTAATGGGGTCAGGAAAGTAAATGGTGACCTGTGCAGATCTATGTTTGTTTCTTCCTGGAAAAGGAGCCTCTCGGCTTCTCTCTGCAGTGGTATAAAGAGGTATCATGTCTGTCCACCCATGACTTGACTGAGCAGTAAATTATATTTTACAATCTTGTGAAGGGTGTGTATGCATGTGTATCTATGTAGGGGATTCTTCTGGCCGGAACTAGTGTATTTCTTGAATAAACGACACATCGCTCATCTGTTCACTTTGTGTTGGCATTTGAAAGTACATGAATCAGCCCCAACTACTGTGTCATTTTTCTAAGGCATGTAAATCAAAATGTCCCTCAGAATGCCACTTACATATTTTAGCCAGGCAGCAGGGACGGGAAGGCATATTATGTAAAGTGGTCTTGTTAGCCAACATGAATCTAACAAGCTTCACTAAGGTCAACTGGAGAGTTTTGGGAGCTAATGTAGCATATTGACCAAAAGGCTGGGTTACAAACCAAGAAATTCCCAGTTCAAATCCTGCCTCTGTGGTGAGCTGGCTAGGCATCCACTCACTCCCCCTTAGTCACTTCCCTCAATTTGTGGTATGGATAATAATGTGCTATAGTGATTTGGGTGTTAGAATCTGGAGACTTGGGTTCAAATTCCCACCATGCAATGAAGCTCACTGGCTAGTCACACCCTCAGTCTCTCAGCCTGACTTACTCCTGTGGGGTTATTTTGAGAAATAAAGGGGGAATGGGGGAAGTCATCATGATGTCATCTTAACTGTATTGGAGGAATAGTGGAGTATGAATGTAGAAAATAAATAATATTGATTTCTCTCACACAATTGTAAAGATTAGGACTGACAGAACATCTGCTGAGCAATGGGCATCAACAACTGTGGAAGAGCAGTGGTTTTGTTTTTGAGACCAAAGAATTAAAATAAAATTAAATAAAATGTTGAGGTCAAGTCCATCTGGAAACATCACTTTCACTCTTCATCAAGGTCTGTTACCTGAACAGATGCAGTGCTTAGTTCCTATTCAGTGCCAAGAGCAACCTTGGCCAAGTTATCTTGTTTGTTTCCTGGCTGGGCTTTGAGGAATAAAAGGCTCCTAACGGTCTTACATGTTTTCCTCAAGTGATTTTTTCAAAAATCTCTTTGTGTTTTTCACATTTGCCTTGGCTGCTTGCAACGGCATCCAGGGAGGACCATGACAACAGTTGCTAGGGAGCTGCATAGTTGCTATCAACAGTAAACAAAAGACAGGCAGAGAAAGCTGTGTATCCTTAGAGATGTGTGGAAAGTGATGTTGTCAGGAAATTTCTTGTCTTTCAGAGACCACGATGGCAGATTAAAATATTTACTTTTTTGGGAAGAGAGCTTCCAGCAAATCCCAGTCACTGGTCTGTAGGGTGAACAGGTGGGTCTATAGGTTCTTATCCAAAATAATGGTTTTCCCAAGCTCTGACTGTGATCTAACATTTACAGGTCATGTTCATCCTCAGGTTCCCTCACAGACATTTTATACGTTATTTATCATTTATTGGTTTCAAATAATTTAACCTGCCTTTCGCCTTAAAAAGGACCCAAGGCAGCTTACAGTAGTTAAAAAAGACAGTATTTCAGATTAGAAACAATGATTATATTTTACTGAAAAGATCAATAAATACAATGCCCCCCCCCAAAAAAGCAAAACAAAAACACATTAAATACAGTAAGGTACAACAATTTATTTTAAAAGCCCCACTCAGACAGCCAAGTCACTGAGGGAAAGCTTTCCTGAAAGGAACAGTCTTTGCCTGCTTGTGGAAGAACAGCAAAGATGGGGCCAACCTGGCCTCCTGTCAGAAGGAGCTTCAGAACTCTGGGAGCAGCAACAGAGAACGTCCCCTACCATGTCCCCAACCAAGCACGCCTCTGACGGTATTGGTACTGAGAGCAAGCCCTACCCCTTGTTTTACAAGATCTGGGGGGAATAAATATAACGACTGTGGTCAAAGAGCAGTTTTTTTATTCCTGAGGCAAAGGAGAAGATGTCGCCTTGTAGCTGAATACTGGGAAAACAGAAGTGTCTTCCTCCACCACACCAGAAGATAATGGGGTGATTTAGGAGGCAGAAATCAGGACACAAAGCACATAAAACTTTAGCCATTCCATACTCCTCGGTATCTCCTACCTGTCTGCCTTACTCTGCTTCATGATATTGCTGGTCCTGTCCACGAGGAGAAGAGGGGAAAAAAAGATCCATAGATAGGAAATACCTTGGTTAGGACCAATAAAAATCCTACAAAAAAAATGGCAAGCCTTCAAGTTTTCCAGAACTTCCCATCAAATAAAGCAGTACAAGAGCAGGAGATGGGAGGAAAAGCAGGAAAATCCAAAAATTACTCCCGATTTGTCTGTTGTTTTTGTTGTTGTTGACAGCTTAGAATGAGGAGGAGTTCTGCAAAACCTGAAGGCCTGCATATGTTTTTCTGTGAGATTGGGGGGGGGCTCTAATAAAGATATAGCCCAACTCTTCATTTAGCCTTTTATGGTATGCCATTATGATGTTTGAAGGTGTACCATTATAGTATTAAGATCTAAAACATGAAAACAACAAATGTGTTTGCAAACATGTGGATCACACCAGTATACTCATCAAGATAGACAAGAAATAGACATTTGATGATGAAACCAGTTTTCCAACTGGACAATGTGTGACAACATGGGCCTCTCGATTCCATCTAACCCATTCAATAACCCAGGTGACAACAGGCCCGCCTCATTGTATTCACATTGAAGACAGAAGTGAAGTCTTCATCTCCATCCCTACAGAAGAAGGTAATATACCAGCAGGACACAGCATAGTTTGTTTTTAATATGAATGGATGGAGTGTAGGAGATGAAAGCCAGTGACAAGGAATATGTAAGAGCATAATTAATATGGAGGCATGGGGGGAACTGCCATCTCTAATAACCTTGTCCCAATCACTATCATTCAGCCTCTGGAAATAAAGGGGTTAGACAAATACTGCCTTGGTTTCTGTGGAAGAGAGGCACGAAATCACGATGACAAGTAAATAAATAAATAAAACACCATCAACGTGCTGTGAGTTTTGTCAGTCTAATTTTCCTCTTTGATTTTTCTCCACACTAGAACTAATTACTATCGCCTGCAAGTGAACTGTGCTTTTCTTTGCTGTGAAGTTGAACTGGTATGCATGCCGGCAGGAAACAACTGTGTTTCCTTTTCATGTTAGCCTTCTGGAAGTGGGCTGTCCTGTCAAGCAAGGGCCTCAGCAATTTCTCAACAGCAGCTGGAGCACTTGGCATGTATGCTTATGTCCTCTTTTAGAAAACACCTGTTCTTCTTCAGCCTCTGAGCCTCAAAAAAAAGTCTCTTGCTGAATATTGTGAAGATATACAGCAAAGGAAAGAACTTTTTGTCTTGTGAAGGGAGAATGACACAAGGGAAACAATAACATACTGAAAGATTACTATGGCATTTCATTTCCATCTGACCTCACTGTCTACAAATCCTGCCCCTTTCATGACATAAGACAGTCATTTATAAAGTTGGTATTCTGGACAATTCTTTAGGCAGCTGATGAAGTGGGCTGTAGTCCACAAAACTTGTCTTAGTCTTGAAGGTGCCGAGAAATTTTTTTGGTTGCTTTTGCTGGAGGATTAGATGGCTGTTAACTCAGGCCGCATGGTGATGGCGATTACAATGCTTAAGAGCAGGCTTTCCCAAATGGATGCCTTCCTGGTGTCTTGGACTCACTCAGAAACCCCTGGGGGGTTTAGCTGAATACTAGGTTGGGAACGGCTGCTTTAGAGTTTTTAAAGGACTGTGCAGACTTTTTCAAAGTAATCCTTCCAACATCTTTGTATGAGAGGAGATGCAGGAGCTGGGGTGATCATATTACAGAGACTGAGTCACAGAGATAGTGAGATCATTTAAGGCTACCTGGTGAGTTCCTGGCAGAGATGACATTTGAATGCTTGGCTGCATTTTTTAGTAGATATTTCAAATTGCACAGAATTTTGCCCATGTTGACCTTGGTAAAGGACACAGTAAAATTTCATTATTTTGCCAGTGGGGAAATTTTGGCCTCTGGATTGTTTTGGCCAATAACTCCCAGAAGCTCCACCAAAGTACAGTCAATGGCAAGGGACCCTGAGAGTCGTAATCCAAAACATCTGGAAGGCTGAATGTTTCTCACCCTGGTTGGATGTAAACTAGAAGGTCAATGTGGAGACTAGAGATTGTGAAACATAGACAGCTGAATGGGTATGGAAGCTGACCTGCCAGATGTTGCAGGACTAGACTGGTACTAGCCATGATGGAAGCTGGAGTTCAGCAACATTTGGCAACCCACCGTATCCTCATCCCTGGTGTTCATACACAGAACAGCATATTAAGAGAGTTTTCGCCCAACCCTCTTTTTATTTTCTGTTATCAGCTATTCCAGCTTTGAGCATTTTGGGGGTCTTTAGGTAAAGAAGAGAGTTATGTGGTGTTTTCTGCTAATTCCTTTAACTTACCACAACAAAATCTAAAATTCCTTTAAAATTAATAGTCTACATTCCTAAGAGACCAGAAAACAGGTCTGAACCATAGATCAAGACAATGCCTTCCCTCGCTTCACATACAGCACTGGCAGTCCAATCATCCTTCGGTGTTGTTGATGGGATAGTATCCTCCACCACAGCCGAGAGCAGCAGGACAGTTTAGGGGTAATGCACACAGCTTGAGTCCTGCAAGAGGATTAGGATGGCTGAGGAGTTCAGGAGGGACTGCTGGGAGGCTGTCAGGGTTGCCTTCCTCAGGACTGGCCTCTTAAGGCAATTGCCACAGCCTCCTGACTGGTAGGGTTGGCCCAGGAAAAAGCAAAATTATGGCTCTCTCACACAAGCATTGAGAGTCCCATATTTTGGAGAAAAGATTGCATATAAAGGCCAGAGTATTTTGAGGCGGGGGGGCAGGATTAAAGTCCAAAAAACAGAGAAAGAAATAACATTATGTAGCATTCTTCAGAAGACGCCATTTGTCTGCATGTGATTTATCATGGGATTCATATGTTTGTTTTATCTATGTGTATAAAGCAGCAGCTATCAATAGGTGGAGATTATTTATTCTGATTCTGTGGGGGACAATGAGAATCAGTTCCATCAACCTTGGCCACAATTTCCTGGATTTTTTTTTTAAAAAAAACAGTCACTTCCCATTTTCCTTGAATTGTGTAAACTGCTGTTTCTGTGTGAAGGCTATCAAATATATTGCAAACCTTTTTCTTCCTTTTCTTTGTTAGCTCTTGCCCACTGAATCTTTTTCACAATAGCATGTTCATAGCATTCATTGCGTGCACAGTTGCTGAAACAGCACCGAATAATGCTAAAAGACCCAAGTTCAGGCAGAGGACAGATAACAGTCTGTTTCTGCACAGCATGATGTGGCAGTCATGAACTCTGATTGGCTTTTCCACAGAGGTTGAAAGCATGACATTTTCAACAATCAGTTTGTACGCATTTTTGGAAATGGCTCTTCTACTGTCTATTTTATGCAATATAGTTTAAGCTAGCTGAATGGCACTATGTTCAATATTTACGTAGGCTTCAGATGCGTGTAAAGTTCGAAGAATGAATACCATTGCCAAACATGCTCAAATCTGAATTAGCCTTGTGAGATCATTGGATCAGTACAACAAGCCCTAATTTTGAGTAAAACAACATGGGTCCCTTGCCAATGCATTTTTCCACTTAACAATTCATTTCATACTAGGTGAGTGTGTGCGGTCAAATTGCATTTCAAAGCCAGTGCTATACTGGCTACAGACAAGCTTTCAGATTGCAATTGATACTTGAGCCTGAATACTTGCTGTCTCTGTCTATTGTTTGGAAGTAAAAGGTGAGAGCAACATGAATGCACTCAGTGTGACTGATTTTTATATTTACAGGATCAACATGCATTGAACCTCTTGGTATATCCACTCAACTTAATACCTGATGCAATTATTTTTCACAATGGATTACAAAAACTACACTTGTTAGCTAACAGTGCACATTTATGATTTGAGGTATCCCACTGCAGAGAATCACAAAGTCGACAAATAAATTGTTCCACAAGACTTCTTTGTTGTTCTCATGTATCACCATCCACTCTTGTTGACTGCACTGAAATTGACTCATAAAAACATAAGAAGCCACCTTATGTTGAG